TCACATTGGATTCATTGCTGATTCATCTGCCATACGTCCTAATACTTCCTGTTCGCCTGTTGGCGACAGCGGTCTATGTCTATAGGAGCAAGTTGAACATAAAGAAGTTAGGTAGGAGGTCATTGCTGAGAAAAAATAACTTTTTAGCTCGATCGGAATGAGTCAACCCTGTCAAGTAGATTATATGGTAATGGAACATTCATATGAGTATATCTTATACGCGATCTCTGTTTCTCTATATATAAACAGGTACTATTAAAAATATCACTCTTGCACAGGAAGTACTCTCTTAATATTTATATCGGTTGACTCATCTGCGCATGAATAATGCCATATAATTTCTTGCAAGGGTAGACCATTAAATGTAGGCTAAATATAGGATATGTCTGGAGCGGACTGATATTAGGAGATTGTCGGGGGACCTGTTGAAATAGACGGCCGAGTTACAATCGATGTATCCTGAGGTTTTCTCCGGTATTCTCAGCTTGAACACTGAACCTGAAAATCTGAATATCAGAACAAAACTTACATGAAACTATCCACGTCCAAATGATTGGTATCTTCAAATAGAGTACTCATCTCCCATAAACGTGACGAATCCCATGCTACAAAATGAACATGAATTGAGCTGAAATGAAGCAATCTAGGGGTTAAGAAACAAATCAGTCGATAATATCATCATGGCCGATTTGGCAAGATCTCCAAAACCCAATGTCAAACCGATCATAATCCCTTAATAATAAACCCTTTAAATGCAAGACAGGTGACATAAAGTAGCTACAACTTTGGCTCACATAAAGTCATCTGTTTCTCTTGTTTGCGAATAGATCGTTCGATGACTTCCAGGCAACGTGCAAGCACGTATTTTGCACGAAATGAAAAAGTCAGTGTGTCGTTCAGTTGAAGATCATCCGTGAACATTTTGTGTATTATTTTCGTCGTGCCGTATGCGGAAGTAAAATCGAATCCAATCACAACTTCGAAAAGTTCGGCAAACCGGCACTTTGTCGTAATATCAATACATAGACATGCGCAATGAATACAGACAAATTGCCTATATGTACATGTATATTCGGAACGCATATGTTAACAAATATTGCACACTTATCGACAGTGGACGGCGATTTTGCGAATCTGCACTTTTCACCTGTAGAACGGCGATCGGGCAGTCAATAGCAAGGTTTGCAAGGTCGTTAACTTTATTGGTAATATCGCTTGTTCCCTGATATCGACTTGAGTCATACGCGCTCAGAGGGCACTAGTTGTCCCCTTTGTACCGAAACTTTAAAACGCACAGGATAACACGTCCAAATGCTCTAAACACACTTATATGTAGGATGCAGAAACCTGACTATCCAGTTGAATTCTTTGGTTAGTTCTTTTAAATAGCGTTAAGTAACTATGGTCTGACGAGTTCCGGGGCTTCCATCAATCCACGGCAGCCCTACGTTGAAAAGATAACACTCGACCTATTACGCGAATATATCGTTAGCTAAAGTGGCCAACTTGATCCGCCCTTGCTTCGTGATGGTCAAAGAAAAAGAGCGAAAAACAGGTACCAGAGAAAGAGGCACCTCTACCCATAGCTCCATTAAAAAAGCTCGCGTTGCGCAATCCATGCGGCCCATTATGGCGTGTTTGTTTTGATCGGTACAGGGTGTGTGGATATGCAAACGTGCTACTAGCGTGCATTAACGTCAAAATAAAAATAAGTTGGCAAAGGTAAACCTCGTTTGTTGGTGTCGAAGATACGTTTCTGTGATTTTTAGCATAGTTCATTGAATTGTTCGCTGAGGCAAGCCATAAACTGCGTCAATGTTTTTGGTGGAAAGGGGTGAATGTCCTGTATGGAGGTGCTTTCAAGTAATTATTTTATTTCCTCATTAGCTTTAACTTAGGCACACTGATCAGTCTAGGGTTACATAGATAGAGATTCAACGCGCCTCACATGTGCTTGACACAGATAGGTTCACAGATTAGAGACACATAATCTAATCCAATCTGATATTTCTATGACTCTGTTGAAATTCAATAAAATATGTAAGTTGATCTAATTGTTGGAAGAAACCTTTAACAATGCTACAACCAAAATACAAATAACTAACATGTAAAACATAAAAAAATCCAAAGGGCATTCATCCAATTATGGTTCAATCTAACACTCTATAGATGCGACAGGCAGGCACAGCTTTGAAGGAATTGGTCCCAGCTGTTAAAGGTAAAAATCAATTTTATTTTCAGGTTAGAGCTTCGTGTATAGCAGGCCAGAAACTGTTTTCGATGATGACAGACTCCGCTCCTGGCTTCACAACATATCTATAACCTTACCTTATAATTGCGGTGGATCGTTTGCCTCAGGCAGGGTCGTTGCCTCGAGGTGCACACGTCAACAGGTGACAAGCACCTGTGTCATTGGTCCTGCAGCTACAACAGAAGGACTCGCGAGACCGAAGCAAACTCATGAGCCCGTTCGGACCGGCAAGAGCACAGGTCGTGCTCATGCAGGTTTGGCGGAAATAAGCAACGATAGGGAGACGTAGCTGCACCGAGCAGCGAATAAATATACATTGTGCGCTCGACCGTACACACCTGCTTACCCCTCACAAACTGTACACAAAGCGGAATTTTACTGACTGAATTTGTATAAAAAGTAGGACTTAATACTGTTAATAAATCGACATTCTCAAAGATAAGAGAGTTTCATAGTTCGCGATTTTTGTAGCAAAGGAAGTCCGGTTACGTACGATTCACAAAAAAGATTCACCTGTATAAAATGGTTAGTAAAACATTGACGAGCGCAAACTTAAACAAACGTGTAAGCACCAAATTCTGAGAAAAAACCGACACCTGATGGTGGCCGAAACCTGATCTACTATGAATTCTCGCTGGTTGCTTGCTCACTAGTCGAAATATTGGCCTTTCTATAAAACAGGGTAATTTGTGATGAACGAGTTATGTAATACCCAGTCAAGTGCATATTCTTTGTGTCCGCTTTGTCATTGATGGAGCAGGATAAATGACGTCAGCTAATTCAATGTCGTTCAAGTACCGGACGTAAAAACTGGAAATATTTACGTAGTGATTGAATATAAGACGACGCTATCACAGAAACGTTCCAACGTTTATCTTATAGATCATGAATGTAATAAAGCTATTAGCTGTATCGACGTAGTGGTGAACAGGACAAGTTTGCGTTTGCCAGGCACAATTTACACGCAACTTGTAAACTTCTAAGAGCTAACTTGCGCATTTTTCTCTATCACCTCGTATCGACTATGCGTTTCTGTGTTTACATTTATAGTAAGTTCAGCTAGTAGCTTACGTGCCAAATGTTGCGTGTGAGCAACTGATGCATCGCCTATGGCGAATGTGGAACCCTTTGTGTACTATATGTGGTATAGTATGAGTGGTTTTGCCTTATTGCAAGAAAGGCCATTCAACCTAGAACCTAGATAATAGAACGAGCGCGGTTCGTATTCATCATGCTTACATTTTATTTGCTACAGCACACAAAGTGACGAATATATACAGCTTCTGTTCGTCAACGAGTTCATTGTTACTATTGGTATTGCTGCTATTCTTGGTCCTAGTCGTGAGAACTGATCGCTATACAGGCCAAAATATGCGTAGTTCGAACGAGAAGATCCCGTGTCCTGGGGCTTTCGATGTCCAGATCGCCATTTTCATCTAGAGCGTGCACGATTATTTATTTCTATATGTGAGAGACGTGCGCCTATCTATACCTATGCTTGCGTTTGCATGTGGATGCGGTCATGTGATTGACATCAAAGCTGGCATCTTGGCCCAGTGCAGCTGAGAGACAGCTAAATACTTCACACTTTATAAACTTATGAATCGAAAAAGGCTGCGTGCAGGCTGATGTCACGATATTGCGACGCATTCCATATACGGCCTGTTTGTTGTCTATAGATATAGGTTAGTAAAGCAAATAACTCCCCTAATGGTCAAGCTATCATCTCAAGTTATGTAACAATGAAACTTAATATTGTACGAGCACAAATACGCCTTACAGGTAGAGATCACAAGAAAACGTGAATGAAGTGATCAACATTGTCGATATTGATTGGTTGCTAATTGGGAATAATTTGTAACTGCAATTGACTTAGATTGCGTGTCAGATTCATGTAATCCGTAAGTTGTGGTGACAGTCAGTAATAGGAAGCTGTCGTGCACCATGCTGATGAATATCATGAGACGCATAGGCTGAACAAATTGCGGAAACTAATATTCCAGAACACGCTGGTCACTGGGAAAAGCCGAACCGCATAATTGACTGATAAATTTTCTCACTTGCTTTAGCCGGTCAGACATTGCGTGCTTCAGTGCATCTAACCCATTACCGTACAAAATGTATGCCCATTGCAGTGAGCCGAAATATACCCATTCACTCGATGAGCCCCCGATACAACGATCGGAACTGTTAGTGCTTCTTTTTGCTTTCACCAGGCTGAGCGCTGCGTTCGGCAACTACTTCTTAAGCAGGCGGCGTGCAGTTCTTAGAAAGACTCACAGTTCGTCGTTACCTCGACAAACTAAATGCATCGTCATAGTCAGCGTTGTAGCCACTGGCCTCTATAGCTGCCGCACACAAATTGAGCTCTCCGTGGACAGTCGCTACCGAAACAGGTACGGTGTGTGTTATATAATAAATAGAAACTTCTATCAATGCCCTGCTTCTTACTGTGTAAGCTGGCAAACGCAATCGCCCCTGTGGCATATGGCTGTGGTTGTTGCGACGGGCCACCGTTTGTTGCTATCGCTCGCGCCGCTGCTTGCGCCGCGTCTAGTGAGTGCCGTTGCGGATGAGTCCTCGCTGCTGCTGGTGGACTCCTTCGCCATTCGGAAGCCGCTAGATGGCGCTGGTGGACGAACGACGACGAAATGGAGTCAGAGTGCGCGTAAAGAGGGCGGCAAATATTGTAAACGTCTATCCGTGAAAGGATGCACACCGATGGCTAGTGTACGGTTATAAACAAGCACTGACGATGCCTTAATCGGAGAAGAGGATTAGCGATCATTTGGTGAGAGCAACTAAAAATGAACTGTTCGACACACCTTTGACAGGTTTTCATCTAATCGATTTGTACATGGCTTCAGCTTTGCTCGGCATTATTTCTTGTAACGGCCTGAAGTACAGGAGTTCGAAGATGATATGAGGTAATTGAGAAACTTTAAAAAGTGCAAGCAGTTCATTGTGGGTAATACCCTTTATTGTGTTTGGTTATTCGTACATAAAACTATCGGATTGAACAGTTCAGAAATACGGCCTGAATCGTCCCACTGCATCCAGGACACGACAAACGATAGAAATACAGGAGTTATTAATTATTCTACGTAGTGGCTAGCAGAATGTGTAAGGCACACAGCTTCGATCTAGGTACGATCCGAAGGCGATCCTCTACGGGACGCCGTTTATCACGGATTGTCCTGGATAGTCAAGGATGTCCTTTGAAAGGAGTTGGTGATGTTGAAGGTCAGGCCCGAATACTTGTTACGCTATCAATGACTTTTTTGGTTCGGTACCTGTTTAAGCTGGATGGTAAGTCGACTGAATTTCGACATTTTGCTCATAAAATTTTGTATTGACGGTAGATAGAAATAGGACATCGGTCACATATTTATGGCTGTGTCATGCAACGATCGAAGCTGGCAGAAAAACTTCATTATGCATCAGTTCAACTGTAAAACTAGTATTAAAATATACTATTATGGAATCCCGTCGTACCGCACGTGCCATATTCCAATAGCCAGCACGGGACAATTTATGTGAGGCGGTATAGATAATTCACTTTTGAATTTTATAGGTTCGCCAATAACGTAGGCGAAAGTTCAAATGGTTCGTTGTTCGGGCTGTTCCTTCGGAGGTGTTCCTACAGTGTCAAGGACTCTTTCGACTACTCTATCACAGATCGAATTATATAACCAGGCTCATTCAGGTGCTGAACTTGTCGATTGAGTCAATTTGAAAAGCGAGGACAAGAATATTTTTTGCCATGAGCAATCACAGGTCACACGATTAAATAAACCATATTAAAGTGAGAAATGTGTGTATAGTCCCTGTTCATATTTGCGTCCACAAATCTATCGTCAATGTTGCCCGTTTTTCATAGGATATAGCTTTTCTATGTAATGCTATAGCTATCAAGACGTAGATGCGTTATATATATATGTCATCTAAAATTTACGTGCATGCTCCTACGTCAAAAACACCTTTTCCTTGTCGAGATTAGCTGCCTTTTCTAATCCTACCTTAAAAAATGATTATCTCTAACGAGCAATTTTGCCAGATGCTTGACGGTACGGTAACATTATAAATCGTTGTCCCATTGAAATTTATACTCGTTTGTGTAGCGTTTATGCCGAAGAATATTTTCGAATATTTTCTAAGTTACTGCACGCCCCTATTACTGACACCAACAACGTAAATCATAAGCTGACTTGGTAGTCACATAGGCGCTGTCGCCAATTGACGCATACGCTACGCACGAACTTCAAATTAACGCCTCTTACAGTGCTGGTGGTAGCATTGAATGAGGCTGGAATCGGTGCTGTATTACAGGATGGGTCAGTAACTGATTCAGTGTTCTTGCATACGGAACTACTACAGCCTAATAGATGATTCAATTCATAGATGGTCTACTGTGCCAGACTCACATTGTCAGGTAATCAATGAATTAATTTGTAGTCTGGCCATATGGACGACACTGAAGTGATCCATCGTTAATATGAAGTCTTCGTCAAGGTCGTATTCAGGGCTTTTATTAACGTGTGAGGTTTCACTGGCTTGTGTAGGTATCGGCAATTCTACAGTCACAGTCTTTCGATTGCCTAGGCAAGCGAGTGTTCAACTTCGCTCATTTATGAACCCTTCTTTTTGCGAAGAGACCTAAACCACGCGCAGGTTTAGGCTCCCGCTACCAATGCAGTTTGAATAGGATCTTTATCCTCGAGTCTTTCCTAATTACAGATCGTTTACGTCCGCGTTTATGCTGTAAAAGGCAAGAACTATTCATCAAAGCAACGCCAAGCGTAATGCACGCATGAGTTAGGTATCGTTGTTCGCGCAGTTTATTCAGTCCGATGCGGCGCTAAGCATCGAAAAACTATGCGAAGCGTCGTCACCCGCCCCTATATTAGCGTCCACGTAAAAGCGCGACAAGTGAGATTTCTACTCTTGCTTCCACGGTACCACCTTGGGTCGACTCCTATTCCATTATCGTCACCAATCCGGCCGTGGTTCGACGTTTATCGAGTGTGCGGCGAAGACTCCACGCAAGCACACTATAGTTACGTCTCTGTTTCTACTTTACTGTGACAGTACGCGTCGCTGTTCGCATCACTATCTGTCCTGCAGGCACACATGTTGCCTTCGCCGCACTTGCACGAGATGTTCGCAACTGATGGACCTGCAATGGCCGCTGCAGCTGATAGCTGATGAAAGAATTGACGAAATACGAATATTCAATTCTTCAAAAGCGGGCAAAATAGAGCCTTGGCGATGGCCTACCGACCATGAGGTGTGCTTAAGCGGCTATCGGTCTGCTGTATTATGCCAAAGATTAAACTGTCCTTCCGCGAGCCGAGCGCACCGTCGTTATTGAGCAAAGGGTTTTGCTGCCGAATTAAAGCTCGCCGTTACTTATCAGCATTATACACACCGACACACATATATATGTCGATCCTGCTTGATGCCGTCACTCGAACAGTCAGTGAGCGCAGGAAGCACAACCCGATATACTATTTGAGGCTGGTGGAAAACGTCAATACACATCAGGTCGTACATGAATTTTAAATAACTCTAGTGTTATTGTCAGATAGGCTTGAGATAATAAAAATATATGCTCACCGAGATTTGTAACGTCTGACTTTGGGCGACTGTCACAGTGGGTAAGTGTAACAAATTCTGGGGATTGCAGCCATTTTAGAACTACTATCTGATGACACATAGTGACGTTTCGGTATAAAATACGTCGCGAATCGAGAGCGTCTAGTGGATTTTGTATAGTTTAAGCTATGACAGTGATTTGTTTATGAATACAGATAGAAGAAACAGAATGTATAGCCATCGATAGAAGTTGACCTACCTGCTTGAATCGTTTACTGTGTACGTAATATTAATATGTAAGTTGAGATCCATGTCTGGTTGATGGTCTTGGATTAATGGTTTGCCGCTTTGAACGGGGCAACTTCTGTCTAAATGAGCATCAAAATGTTCGATTCGCTGGTCTACAAGCGTGTTGTAAATACGCATCAGTTGCAGGTATGCACATGTTATGATGAACTATGGGAACGGCTTAGCTATGACAGGCCGAATACCTCAACCCATCAACAATGAGCTCTAGTTACCATAAAGTCTTTTAGGCTGAATTAAACAAAACAAAAAAAAATAGTTTCCTAATTATATTATGAAAGCAGACGCCGATAAGTAATTGACCGGCACTTTCCTCTGGTATAGTGTATTGGTAATTTTGGCAATTAGTATCTCTGTCGTATACGGTTCAATTTTATTTACGAATAGTTTATAATATTGCTGTTGTTATTTACTTCATACACTATATAGTCGATAAAAAAAAAACAAAAAAAAAAAAAGATATGCGTACGGAAACGTCAGACCTTATCAGAATTTTGAAATCGCTATGATGATATTAAGGGTTCCTTTTCATTCAAGCCATATCATTAACTGTATTCTTATATCCGGTACATAATTTTCCAATTGCCGTGAGACAAGAATGGTTATTTTTAGAGGAAATTTTGCTTCAATTCATCAGGAAAACGGCTCGGCTATAGTAGTCTGAAGCTTTTATTTTTTTTTTTATTAGAATATTATAAATGATCATCGAAATCATTTAGCATGTTGATGAGACAGAGGAATCAATTACGATACGTTCCTTTATCTCCCACGTACGACTTCTGTTACGGACAATTGTTCTTGCCACAGGCTGCATTTCTATGCTGTTTTGTATTATATACTTAAGCAGAACTTAGATATAGTAACGTGATGTCATTACTTCCATGACCCTTCACCGAATCAACACTAGACGATACATTCGATACTTTTGGGGCATTTAACCTTTACTACATAAGACAACGAGCGGTTTGAACTTTCGTTTTTCGGTAGGATAAGAAAAAAAAAAAAGTATAGATTTATTTGACTGCAATTTGTGTTTCTGTATATGCCGGAGTCGCTCTCTAGCTTTAAGTTTGTTCCATGTTACATCATAATAATTACGTGTCGGCTAGATTCTAGCCAGCACTTACGTAACTTCGAGCTGGTACCTATGTTTTTTTTGCTCCATAGTTTAATTTATGGTTCAGTTTTGAAAATGTTGAAGTACAATAGCCTCTGAACAATTGTTCGACGGGAATGTGTCACGATGCTCTTTGACGGTAGTCATAGAGGCTGAACTTTTCGTATCTAGAAGTATGCTGACTTACTATCTACTCGTAGCCACTTTCATTATGTTCTATTGAGAGGCGCCATTTGGTAACGTATCGAAAATGTGCTCGCTGTCAGCTCTAGTTGAGATCCACCAGTTCACACTACTCTTATGTTAAATAAACCACGATAATTTCTCAAATCCAATCGGACCATAAAAAGAGGCTTTCTCTATTAGGAGGCGCTTGTTACCTCGAGGCAACACGGAAAATCCTCTGATGGCCTAAAACTTTACTAGATCCTTTGACGAACGACACGTTTAAACTTCAATGCAAGCAGCTGTTCCAAATAAAGTATAATTTCCTAACACCTCAGCCATTAGTAGGTGACTACCGAAAATTCTGAAAAGATGTCTCAGAATTGCCATCTTCATTTAAATAGTACAACTTAATTTCTGATCACACTTAACAGTAGTGTGTAGTCTAATTTAATGGGTTCAAGTAAAAACTGTTGCTGGAACAGACGAACGTTTTTGTTGAGTGATATCTATTAATAGAAGTTAAGTTTAATCGTAAATTCGAGCTTGAATGAAACTAACATACGGAGGAAAACTCAATTTTCTAAAACAAGTTTAAGATATAATGACTTACAAAAAACGTGACGTGGCAAAAAGCGTCAAAAGGTAAAAAAAATGGTCGTAGTTTCAAAGTTCTGTGTATATTGGCGAATGTCCCATTACAACATACGTGTGGAGATACGATGATTTTGCGCAATAGCAACT